TGTATGTACACAATGTATATTTATATGGGGTGTATATATGTGCTTGCGTGTGTGTGTGTGTGTGTGTGTATGTGTGTAGTCACCAAAAAGGAAAATGTTGAAAGAAGAATGAAGAGAAAACCATGAAATTTGATCTTCTTTGAACCTAGAGATTATCTTTAATTGACTATAAATTTATATCACATACATAGTACAAAATGTGCATATGCATTAGCTAATATATATAATATGGACATAGTTTTTAAAATTTTTTTTTCTGATCAGGAACTAAAATTAGTTAGTTGTCAAAATATTCAAATGTAGGTTTCTTGGTGTACAGATCAATTTACTATTATGGTAAGTTACTTCTCCAATTCCCTACCAGCATGAATGAAAAGTATGAACTGTGACCCCAAAGCAAGAGGACCTTTAAAGTTCATTCAGGCCCATTATCTTATGGTGCTGTCTTTTCACTAAATTTTTAAATATTAGAAAATACATGTCATTAATATTTTACATATTTGTAAGTATTAGCAAATGTCCCTAGTGAACACAAATGTTTTACAGCTTGAAAGTTTTGAATTTTCTCATTTTTGGTCAACTTGCTTAAGTAACTATGATGATTCAAGCTTGTGATGTAGTCTTCAGCAACCTGTCCTCCACCCTCATTCTCCTCTATCCTCAGTTAATTTTAGACATTACAACTTACGGCTCTCCATTGCAAGAACTGTGATGTTATGAATTGCATTTGTCTCTCGATCCAAAGATTTGGCAGTAGTAATAACTCCACTGTTGGCATCAATATTAAAGTATCTCTCCAAATCTGTGTTTCTGTCAATTGAATACCTAATTGGAAATTAAAAGCAAATAAGTAAATAAATAACATTTATGTTTGATGATACTTTGCTAAAATTATTTCATTAATTTCATAACTGATCACTAAATCCTGCTGACTCCATGATCATGCTACTTCATGTTAGTAACATAAATCTATGTCATCTTTAAAATTTCTCTCACATAGCCCTTGGCTCATGTCTTGTGTGTCTGTAATATTTTTGCTTTTCTAGCACAGAGTTTAAAACACACACCACAACTTCATGTACAATCACAAGATTGGGATCCTAATTAGAATAATTCATACTCCAGGTATGTATAATATGTCAAAATACAATCTACTGTCATGTATATCTAAAAAGAACAAATACAAAAATTAAAAAAAAATAATATCACAATATAATTATTTTCACAGTGGCTTTGGGTATATGGTTATAATTTTGAATTCATTATTTCTATTATTATGCTCTTGAAAAATATTGAAAAGAGATAGTGGCACTGGCCATGGCTCTAGGTCCCTCTGGAATACAACATATATAGACAACTTGCCATTTGCATATACTTATTAACATCTTTTCTTTTTAATAACAATAACCTGATCATAATTTATTTTATGTCTCTTGCCAGGGGTCTTGATCGGGGTGCCAAAGGCATTTCTAAGTAGAACCCCTAAAATTGCATCTGCAACCTAAATATTAATGAAAACCTACTGTTTCACTTGTATTCTTATTCCATGTTATTTTTTCCCTAAAAAAATAATGGTTGTCTCTATTCAACATCATTCTTGATAATCTAGCCAGAGAAATTAGAAGAAAGAAATTAAAGGGATACAAATAGATAAAGAAGAACTCAAACTATCACAATTTGCTGATGACATAATTCTATATCAAGAGAATCCAAAAAATTCCACCAGAAAACTTCTAGAATCAATAAACAAATTCAGCAAAGTAGTAGGATATAAAATCATCACCTATACATTAAATGTATTCCTATACATCAGTGATGAATCCACTGAAAGAGAAATTAGGAAAACCACCCCATTCACAAGAGCCTCAAAAAATATAAATATAATATCTGGGAATCAATCTAATAAAAGAGGTGAAAGACCTCTGCAATGAAAACTACAGAACACTAAAGAAAGAAATTGAAGAAAACCTCAGAAGATGGAAAGGTCTCCCATGTTCCTGGATAGGCAGAATTAATATTTTCAAAATAGCCATACTACCAAAAGTGTTTTACAGATTTAGTGCAATTCCTATTAAAATATTGAAGACATTTTTCATAGAAATAGAAAAATCAATCATAAAATGTATTTTAAAAAAGAAGAAACCCAGAATAGCCAAAGCAATCCGTAGCAAGAAAAGTGAAGCAGGAGGCATCACATAGCAGATCTTAAACTACAGAGGTATAGTAAGAAAAACACCATGGTATTGGCACCAAAATAGACTTGTAGACCAACTGTACAGAATAGAGGACACAGAGACAAACCCACATAAATATGGTTATGTCATACTAGACAAAGGTGCCAAAAACATTCACTGGAGAAAATATAGCCTGTTCAACAAATAGTGCTGGCAAAACTAGAAATCCATATTTAGCAAAATGACATTAAACCTCTACCTCTCACCCTGCACAAAAATCTACTCTAAATGGACCAAAGACTTAGGCACTAGAACAGAGACCCTGCACCTAATAGAAGTAAAAGTAGGCCCAAATCTTCACCATGTTCACCTAGGATCTGACTTCCTTAACAAGACTCCTAACGTGCAAGAAGTAAAATCAAGAATCAATAAATGTGATGAATTCAAATTAAAAAGCTTCTTCTCAGCAAAGGAAACAATCAATAATGTGAGAAAAGAGACTACTGATTGGGAGAAAATCTTTACCATGTGCACCTCCAATAAAGCATTAATCTCTAGGATATATAAAAAACTCAAACAATTTAAAACCAAAAAAACAAATAACCCCATCAATGAATGGGCTAAGAAAATGAACAGACACTTCACAGAAGAAGAAATATAATCAATCAACAAATATATGAAAAAAAGTGTTCATCATCTCTAGTAGTTAAACAAATGCAAGTCAAAACACCAGTAAGCTTTCAACTCACTCCTTTCAGAATGGCAATCATCAAGAATACAGGCAACAATAAATGTTGGTGAGGATGTGGGGAAAAAGTACACTCATACGTTGCTGTGGGACTGCAAATTGGTACAACCACTATGGAAAGCAGTATGGAGATTCCTCAGAAAACTTCGAATGGAACAACCATTTGACTCAGCTATCCCACTCCTTGGTTTATACCCAAAGGACTTAAAATCAGCATACTACAGTGACACAGCCACATCAATATTTATAGCAGCTCAGTTCACAATAGCTAAACTATGGAACCAACCTAGATGTCTTTCAATAGATGAAAGGATAAATAAAATCTGGTATATATATTCAATGGAATATTACTCAGCTTTAAAGAAGAATTAAGTTATGGCATTTGCCCATAAATGGATGGAGTTGGAGAACATCATGCCAAGTGAAATAAGCCAATCCCCAAAAAACAAAGGCCAAATGTTTTCTCTAATATCTGGATGCTAATTCACAATAAGGCAGGGAGCACTAGAGAATAAAAGTGTTACCTTAGATTAGGTAGAGGGAAGTGAAGGGAGGGGAGGGGAGGTGATGTGGGGATAGGCAGGATAGTAGAATGAACAGACATATTGCTGTATGTATATATGTGACTGCATGACCAATATGATTTGCAACATATATACTCAGAAAAATGAGAAATTATGTCTCTATATAATATATCTATGTATGATATATCAAATGCATAAATGCATTCTACTGTAATGTATAACTAATTAAAACAAATAAAAAATTTAAAAAATATAATAATCATTTTCACAGTCCCCCAACAGTCTTTCTAGTTGGGAAAGACAAAAGTTCTCATTTCAAGACAATTAATTAAATAAACAAACTAAGGAAAAAAACAGAAAAACACACATAGTGTAGGCATGATGATTAACAACTGACTCAACTACACCCTGAGTTGTCATTGTCTGGGTCTCCTTGACTCCTATGACATGTTCCTCTACCACAATTCAGGCATAGATTCTTAAGAGCATACCCATAGCTCGAGAGCTTTTACCATGCAGTACTATTGAAGCTGAAACTCAAGCATGTGGCTCCCTATTCCTGCTCCAGCCACTCCAGTACCCTGCCTCCTGCATCCTGATAAAGACGACATATTTTTAATACCAACACTTCTCCTTCAATCCCTCACTTCTTTCTCATTAGGTCACATATCCCTGGTCCTCATCACTATCACTCCCATGTATGTGTATGTACTTCCTACAGTCAAAATTGATGGATTAAAACAGGAAAGGCTATTTAACATCTTTTTTTTTTCTTTTTTATAGAGTCAGGAATTTGGGAGTGTGTTGGTGGGGCCACTTTTAGCTCTTGGTTTCTCAGGAGGTTGCAGTCAAATGTTGGTGGGCCTGCAGCCATCCAATGCCTGGCTATGCCTGGAAGATTCATTCCAAAGTCTCATTCACCTGGATGCAATGTGAATAGTAGGGAGGACACATGCACTAAGCAATCTTTCCAAAGTTCATTACTGATTCATGCTTTTTTGAAGCTAGGCTACCTAGAGTTATAGATTCCTACATCACTTCAAACAATTTGGAAAACGAATAGCACAAGCTACATTATGACTTTATCATTAATATTAAAGTAACAAGAAAAAAATTTGAGAGGGGTGTACAGTTCTGAGAATTTTACCACATGCATGGATCATGCAGTCACCACTTATCTTGCATCATCACCACAGTGTGGTGTCAATCACCACAAGGCTCCCTTGTGTTGTCTCTTTGTAGGTACATACCATCCCATTGGTATTCCATGGAGAACACCCATCACTATAATCTCATCCTTTTGAGAATATTGTATAATGCAATCATAGAAAGAAACCTTTTAGGACTGACTTCTCAGTGTAAAGATTGAGGTTCAAGAACATTGTGCCCATGGTTTGTGTTATTTATTTAAATGTCCATGCATTTTTAATGCTGGGCAGTAGTCCGTCAAATGAATGCATGCCAGCATGTTTACTCATTCATATACTGAAATATATTTGGGTTGGTATCAATGTGCAAACACAGCTACTGTAAGCATTCATGTGCAAGTTTTGTTTCAACACATTTTCTTTTCCCTAGGCATAGGATCACTGGGTCCTATGTTTATAGGTAACTGCCAAAATGTTTTCCAACATACCTCTCTAATCTGCATTCATCCATCAGAAACAGATGAGAGTTCTAGTTATTCATCTCACCACATGGTGCTTTGTAATTTACAATTTCTTAATGATAAATTACATTGACCACATTTTCTTGTGATTATCTGCCATATGCAAGCCCTCTTTGGGGAAATGTATGTTCAAATAGGTTGCCCATTATTAACTGGGTTATTTTTTCTATTGTACAAAGTTTTGAGAGCTGTTTATGCATACTTAATTAATACAAGACCTTTGCTAGCAATGTGATATACTTTCCCCAATAAATTGCTTTTCATTTTCTTAGAAATACTTTAATCCTGATAAAGTCATATATATTGATTTATTTATATAATGTGTATTGATATTTATTATATATTACATATATATCAATATGTATGATCATACAATATGCATATTACATACATTATTACATGTATTATGTCTATATACCTTTTCCTCCTCATTCCCCTTTTCCCTTTTCTTATTCCTCTTCCTTCCAAGGATGGTGCTCTGGTTGCCATGTTTAAGAGCTTTATGTCTACCCCTGTGTTATGAATATATTTTTTTCTTTCAATATTTGAATTATTTTTCAGTTTACATTAGAAATACAACCCATTGTGAGTTAAGTTTTGTGTAAGATGTAAAGTTAGGCCATATGCACATATGCTTATCCAGTTGTCATGTCATATCCTCAAACTCCATCATCTTCCCCTAAATTTCTCTGCACATTTGTCAAAAATCC